TCTATCTGCAAGGGCGCCACTATAGGGTTTCGGGCAGAAAGGCGGGGTGTCTATTGAGGTTGGGGCTTTGCAGGTTGATGGTGTGGGCTTGGTGGGGAGGGGTAATGCAGACTCCTGATAAAGAAACCCCCTCCTTGTTACTTACGATCATCATTGTAATCCCTATTACCCTAAACCCTAAACCCTAAACCCTTAACCGCGTGAAGGGGGTTTATTAATCAGGGGTCTGGTTTAAGGACTTTGGGTTGGTGGGGTTGAGGCTTCAAAAGCTTTGAGGGCTTAGTCAATTCTACGTCTCTTTGTCATCTGCATTGCTAGGGGTGAGAGCTTGATGCACGAGAGGGACTTGTAATGTAGGCCTTTAATTGCCAATATTGTGGTCCTGGATTCCTTGTTACAAGGAATCTAGGAGCACAACATTGGCAATTAAAGGCCTACATTGTAGCATGACCATATAATTAAGAAGTATACTTTGCATATTTGTTATATGGTACTTCCATGAGACCGCGAGCCACCAAACCTGCATGTCGGCCAGCTGGCTGCCGGGCTTGCATTTCGTGCCCGAAGCTGTCCCTGCACGTGGTTTAGGGCTCAGGGTTTAGTGGTTTAGAGTTGCAAGACCCTGAACCTGAACCCTAAACCGGCAGTCCTAAGCTGAATCCTAAGAAAAAACGCCCCAAACCTCAAACCTCTAATCTTAGATCCAAGACTAAGCCCCACCCCCAAGCTCCAAATCTTGAATCCTAATCAGGTGCCAGGCTTTCTGGATTTTAGGAGTGTTCAAGAAATCTTTCTTGATATTCTCCTAATCCTATTCAGGTATTGGAGAGACCCGGACCTGGTTGTTACGGGAGAAGAGGATTTTTCCAGCGGAAGCATTTGCATGTCGCCCGGCTGCGAGAGATTGGTAAACGGGCGTAGGGCTTAGGATCTAGGATCTTTGTTGAATTTGAGGGCTTGGGATTTAGGGTCCAAGGCCCAGTGCTTAGAGTGTAGGGTTTAACATCTGGGTTTTAGGGTTTCATGTTTGGCTGGTCGGGTTTAGGATTTCGGGCTTGGGGTCTGGGTTTGAGGTTGGCAAGTCGTTTCGATTGGCCTCAGGATTGTCAACTCCCTCCCGCCAGCCAAGGGTATGAACGAGAAGAGAACCACAGAAACACGCGCATAAAAGGCTGCTTGCTTCCTGTGCGCTCCCGTTTTTTTTTTTTTCCGCGCGTATTCCCTGCACAGTTCAGCCTTAAGCCCTAAACCCGCAACCGGGTGTCTCAAGCAAGTGATGTAGAGAATGCCTTTCGACCCTGCACCCCGGATTCAAGCAACTTAATCCATCCCCTAATCTTTTATTGAATATTCCCCATTGTGGTATAATATGAGATCTCTTGGGAGCATTTAATATTGGGGAGGGGTGGGGGTTTAATATTACAGTCCCCCTTAAGTAGATAGAATATGGGGTCTATGGGGATCTTATTCTAATATACCCAAAGCTATACTCTATCCCTAAACCCTATACTCTATCCCTAAACCCTAAACCCTAAATCCTAAACCTATGTTCTATCTACTTAAGGGGGACGATAGGGGGAGGGGATTTATCCCAACCGCGAAGCCGACCCTTGGGATGGTGAAACCCCTAGGGTTGGGGCTCCAACCCGGTGTCATAAGCCCCACAGTTTGGATGAACATTCCCGCATAAAGGGTTGAGGGTTTTAGGGTCATTTAGGCTTTAGGGTTCAGGGTTTTAGGGTTTTGGGGTTTAGGGTTTAGGATTTTATGGTTTAGGGTTTCAGGGTTTAGGCTTTAGGGTTTTAGGGTTTAGGGTGAAAATTCCCTCCAACCCCAAAATCTGTTCTAAGCCGTCCCCGTGTTGATGTTTCGGAGGATGTGCATGGATCAACCATGATTCATCAATGATGGTATTGTGGCGCTAAGCCGCAAGAGCACCCTGTGACAAAGCCTTGCATGGTTGGCAAGGAATGAAGACATGAATGTCAACATGGATCTTTAGAGTAGTCCCGATAAAGCCCCTAATTCATAGAGTAGTTTCCATTTCAATCCCATTTTTGAGCTTCACAGCTTCAGCCCCTAATCCTCAAACCCTAGTTGGTAGTTGTCATTCTCTAAGCTTTCAACCTCCAACTTTAAACCTTAATCCCTAAACCTTAGATAGTGGTTTCCATTTTTTCGTTCCTTCATTCCTCCTAACCAGGGGTGTAGACCCTAAACTGCCTTGTATTGAAAAACCACAGTTTCGATTTCACTTTCCACTTTCATTCCGTTTTGATTCTCCACTGTTGGGGTAGTAGCCCCATATAGCCCTACCCTAAACTTTGAACCCTAGACCCAGTTTCCATTTCTTTTCCATTGTCCACCATAAGAAAAAAGCATCCTAACCCTAAACCTTAAACCCTAAACCCTAAACCCCTAAACCTTGCGATGCAAGGTCTGCAGCAGTGCCGAAGCTGGACGTCAAGGCTTTGATGTTTTTTGAAAGTACTAGGGTTTTAGGTTTCAGGGTTTAGGGTTTAGGGAGCGGAGCATATACATAGGGGTTTACCCAAGAATAGGGGAACCGTTTTAGGGGTCCCTATCAGAAGGACTAGTGTATCATGGGTCCCCCCCGACTTTGTGTAAGGACCGCATAAAATGAGCTTTAGGAAGTTGGATTTAGGGTACATTATGTGATATCATTTCTCGAATATTGTTACGATTATTTCTATCGTTATTCCTTTTTGTACTATGATCGTTACCAATACCATTATTTGTACTACTATCATGATTACGATTATTTTTTTATTCTGGCTACAACAATTGTTACTACTATTACTAGTACTGTTATCGTTACTGCTGTTATTACCATGATTAGTATTATATACTATGATCATATAAGCAATATCAGTGTTTTTGCTACTGCTGCTATTCTTACCATTCTTGGTACTGCTACTCTTAATGGAATTGTTTCTACTATTAATTAATTCTTATGGCTTTTATTTGTGCTACTAAGGCAACATGTTTGATTTTTCTTTTTGTGCGTTTTGTCCGGTCCTGGCATTACATTCGACTTCACTGCAGAGGCAGTTGACATGGACTTTGAGAAATACCCAAAACCCATAAATCCTGCACCCTAAACCCTAGACCCTAAACCCTAAACCCAAAACCCACAAATCCTGCACCCTAACCCAAGATTGAGTTGCCCTCGACCAGGTACCTCGCGCGCGCATGTGTCTTAAAAGAGTCCTTCACTTTTCTCTTCAGCCCTAAACCCTCAAACCCTAAACCCTAAACCCTAAAACCTAAAACCCTACACCCCAAACCCTGGCTCCGGGTGGTCTTGTGCATCTTCTGTGGGTTTAGGGTTTAGGGTGCCGCTTGGGTAAGATTAGAGTTATATTGGGGCCCAATTATTGGGGTGATATGGGGATAATGGAAAAAGAAAATGGCAACTACTTTTATGGGTTATATAGGGTTTAGGGTTTAGGGATGGCTGCGACGTGCTGTTTGAGGTCTAGTGGTCTAAACCCTAAACCCTAAACCTCGTAGACGGTTTACTTATCCAACACGTCATCCTTCAGTCAGGAGCCCTGGACACTGAGTTTGGATCCCCAAGCCCTGAAACCAGAAAAAACTCCAAACGTTACACGACTTCTCCCCAAATCCTATATCTTGATACCTTAGACGCTAATATTCAGAACATAGACCCTGCATTGAAGCCACACTGCCCTCAACCCTATATCCCTACACCCTGAGTCCAACATCCTGATCCCTAACCTTTAACTATAAATTCCTAAGCCCTACACCCTAAACTATAGTAGTTTCCATTTTCTTTTCCATTATCCCTACATAAACCCTATATAATCCCTATGTACCCCTATTATACTATAGTAGTTTCCATTTTCTTTTCCTAAACCCTAAACCCTAAAGCCTAAAGCCTAAACCCTAAACCCTAAACCGTGTAACCAGGTGAAGATACCCGTCACCCCGCAGCTTCATGCTCTTCCGGAGGGGCGCGCGCTTGCAGCTTTTTCTCTGTTTAGGTATCTAGGATTTACGGTTTAGGGTTTAGTTTAGGGATCTAGGAGCACGGGGCTTGGGGCTTGTCCCTGGATTTAGGGGCTTGGGAGTTCAGGTTCTGGATTTCGGGGTCAGGCTTTGGAGATTGAGGGTTTTAGGATTTATGGGTGGAGGGTGTAATATGTAGGACTGATAGTTTAAGGTTTAAGATTCACGGTTGACTGTCAAACCGGGTTTTGAACAATTAGGGGTTCCCTTTTGGAGCCCATCAAGCCGCACACCCCTGCTCACGGATGCGCCTTAAAGTCGTGAACCTTTTTCACTTGCATACTAGACGGAAAGGACCAGCATGAAGCTACACGTGATCTCTTCTCTGTAGACCCACGTTCGTGGCACCGGGTGTTACAAGGAGGCTGGGATGTCGGACCAAACAAGACAGCAACACGGTCACATGAGTGGTCATTGGTTTGTTCACATCTGCTCGAATGATAACCGAAACCTTAAATAGCAGTTTCCATTTTCTTTCCCATTATCCCCATATAACCCCAATACAACCCTCATATTACCCCAATATAACCCTAATATAAGCTGATGGTATTTGGTGCTATGCACAGAGAACCTTTTCATTCCCTGAGTGTAGAGTACTACCATCAGTCCTCGGGTGTGTAGAGAGTCATGTTGGATTTCTCCGCCACTCAGCGCTTTTGTAGGAGCCATAATTGGAAACGCTATCGTGCGCCCGCCTCTGCTGTTGGGGTGCACAGACATTCCCCGCAGACCACATTTGGGATGGGGCAATGCGGGGAGTCAGTAGGGGGGCATAGTGTGGACAATTAGTCAAGACATGTTACTGGTCGGGAAGTCCTGGAATCTCCTGGAAACGGCAAGGTTGTGGGTGGTCAGCATGGGGCAGAGGGGGTGTTTAGTGGGTTCCAAACGCCTCGGCGAATAAACATGATGAATATGATTCACTGCTGATCATTCTTGAGTTACTGCATCTACATGCTCTCCAACCTATTCTATGCGCGCATCTATGCCCCTACACCCCTGCATTTAACACCTTTCTTTGCGCACATAAGACTTTGCCTGCTGCAGTCCCCTCCCAAGCGCCTCACGCGTGATTTGCGGCCAGGGCTTTCAAGCCCAGAGTTAGCCAGGATGTGTGGCTAAATGTATGTTTATGAGGTACTTGGACCTTTGGGCTTCGTTCAGCTCTCAAAAATGCCTTTTTAGGATGGGTAGGTTCGGGTGTGGTACTGCACCCCAAACCTGCCCTAAATCTTGCACTGTGCCCTAAGCATGTCAAACCTCAAACCGCAAGGTTTACGGGCCTAAACCCTGAAAACGAAAAACATATAAGCTATAGTCTTAACTCCTTAATGGGGGGGTTGTATAAGGAAGATAAAGGGGACTACTATAGGGGTTATTAAGGGGGATACTTGGAGTTTAGACTATGATCCCTATAATCCCCCATATAATCCCAGGTTTCCATTTTATTTTCCATTCCCTTTTCCATTTGATTCTCCAGTATTAAGGGGGTACTAGGAGTTTAGACCCTAAACCCTAAACCCTAATTCCTGAACCCAATCTAGCTCATATACCGCTGCAGCGGTACGTGTCGTCACCTTGGAGCCTAGGAACTTGCGCGGGGGTTTGACTTACAAGTTCAGGCCTAGGGTTCGGGTTTTAAGGTTTAGGTTTAAGGATTGGGGCTTTGGTCCCTTCGTTTTTTTTTTTTGATCTTGCAAGCTTATAAGGATTTACCCTTAGTGCCCACTTTGGGAACAAGAAGTTTAGTCAATTACCACACCCTTCGTTAGTGCCACTATGTCGTAAGAATCGCGACAGATCCCAAAGCTCCAAATCACAAACCCTGATCCCTAAGCTTTACGCCCAAGCCCGAGTTGCTCAGCCCCAACCTTTAACACCGAAGCCTTAAGCCATACAGAGTAAGCTAAACCCAACCCCTACTTGAAAAACGTTGAACCCAAGGGCAAAGCCCTGGACTGGTCTCTGTTAAGGAACTTAAATTAAGTTACTATTTTGGGGAAACCCTATTATTTACTATATATACCCATTATGGTAACTTAATCTAAGTTCCTTAACAGCAACCCAGTGGAAGGTAAGACAGTTTCTGTCTGCCATTGCCTTGCTAAGATTGCAGGCTCAGCAGCCTGGTTGCAAGCTGACAGGGTCCAAGCAGGATTTCGGCTTCAACTTTGGATTTGAGGTGCAAAGTTTGTGTTTAGGGGTTCAGGGTTTAGGGTGGCGCATTTGGGGGTGTTTGGTGAACAGGAAGCAACTTAAAGTGTATTTTTGTAGGTCAAGGCTTGGTGCTTGGTGTTTTTCATTCGAGTTTCATGTGTGTTATGAGGATTGGCGCCCTGAGAAATTCTAGGGGGGGTTCGGGTTATACACAGGTTAAAAGCCCTCTCATATGCACCAATTCCCAAATCACTTCCGTCCTCTGCCCATGAGATTCTCCGGGTCCAATCTGTTGCTGTTTATTACATCTGAGCCCACTGCGTGTTCTGCATTGAGTGCCTCCAGAAAGTGCAAAACCCATTCAAGCCGCTCAATAGTGAACATTTTGCATCATAGTGTTTGGCCCAAAGAGCCCCCTGCTTGAAGCCAAGAGTTGGCAACACACCTTAGACACTGTACCCTGAACTTTGAAGTTCACACTTCGCACCTCAAATGGTAGTTTCCCAAAACAGGGGGACCCCAATAAAGACCCCAATATACTATAATCCTTATTATGAGGACCCCCAAAAGGGTACCCATAATTTTGGGAAACCCCCAAATCCTCTCCACAACCCTTTGCCAGGGAGCTGGCCACCGCCGCCGCCGCGCCACCGGAGGTTTCCAGAGCCGAGAAATACAGGCAGCCGGCACCTTCCAAAGCCGCAAACTCGCGTCTTGGTTGATTTATGGGTGGGGGTGGTGTTTTGAAGCAATACCACGAACTTTGGTAACAAGAAACTGGTGTGTTGGTTTTGGTAATCTCCACGAGACACATGCAGCCGGGGCTCTCTGAACGACAGCATTGAAAAACAAGCCTCTTGCAGCGCATGTTCAATATTAGCTTAGGTCCTCAACAGCTCAAACTTGTAAATTCTGAATTTAGAAAGCTACTAGGAAAACAGTTACGAGGAAAACAATTCAAGTGCACAATGCCTAGATGTCCTAGACAACCCGTTAACATGCTTAGTATCCTTATGACAGCCCAGGAACAAACGCCAGGTCCCAGCCGCCTCAACAGGAAGAGCCGCTCGGAAGCCGTTGAGGGCAGTCGAAGTTTAAGATGCGAAAAATATAAGTTTAGGGGTTTAGGGTTTAGGGTTAAGGGTTTAGGGTTAATCACCTCCCCCTAATCAGAACAAGTTGAGACTCTTAGGTGATTGTTAGGGGCGGGGATTAACGTAACAACGGCATTAAAATCCAAAAAGAAATCAGAAATCTCAGATTCTGAAACAAATATACAGTCGCCAGCTTGGGATTTTGGGGTTTCAGGGTTTAGGTTGTTGGAGTTCAGGGCTGTTGGGTTTTAGGGTTTAGGATGTACGGCTCGGGATGCAGGGTTTGACTGGGTTGCTGTTAAG